TGACCTCTGGTGACCCCAATACTGCTCTAAGGTGAAAAATAACCGAAATGCTTTCAAACGTACGCATTGAGAGCTATCGACTGCTTTTTACCGCCGCGTCTTTCTAGCCCTCTTAGGTTTTTAGTTAGAGGTGGGTGGTAACATATGCCCCCCCCCCACCCCCCACTAGGGCAAAGTTGGCTGAGTCTGCCACTGGGGCGCGTGTTATAGGTATTCACTCCAACAGGATGGGCAAAATCTCGTCACTGCAGGGGCAACTGGCAGCCACTGCGGGACATTTGCCCCCTTGCAGTAGCGCAGAACACCTTTAATTAAGGTGGGGGGCGGGGGGAGGGGCATTGCCGACTTTTGGTCCCATTCTTTCCATGCAACGCCCGTAGGGCTAATGCCGAAATCAAGGGTGCACGGTTCCCCGGTGCCCCCTCCCCTCCCCGTTCCGCCACCCATGCCCTCTCCCCCGTTAAAGGGACCCTCCCACCTAATCCCGCGCACCGACGGGGGACGGATATCCGCCACCTCCCCCTGAGGTTTTTCGCGAATAGTGGGAAAACCGCGGCGCGTAGCGCCGCGAAATTTATTACGACTATTCCCTCATCAATTTTACACATGGTGTGCAAGATTGAACCTCCTACCTTTTAAGGTCAGGTCACCAGGTCACTTTGAATGACCCAACCTCAAGTCACTTTTTTGCAACTTTGTCACCGTGCCAGAGCTACAGTAAATGTCGGAGGCCTTTGAAAGTCGCAGGATGTGATTAGGTCATTAGTAGCTACAATTTGTTTATCTCGGAATTTTGATATCGGTGACCTAAGGTCAGGTCAATTTCGCGACATCCCCATTATAAGCCAATGGCGGAAAAATCAACTCCCTATTTTTACCACTAAAACGGGTCGGAATGGCCCCATATACCATACATGACTTCATATACGATCAACCTTCACTACCTTGAGGTTTGTTTTGCTGTTGGGCAGCTGTGAGGTCATGTGACGTCATCAAAGTTAACCAAAGGTTTTTGGCCAATAACTCCGTACAGGAACAAGATACAGCCACGCAGATGGTCTCATTGTGTTCAGCTCGTCAAGACGCATCGAATGATGTACATGATGACCTCGAGGTCACGTGACCTGAGGTCAACCTTTGACCTTGACCTTTCGAGGTCAACATATATATCATTCGATGCGGATTGACGGGAGGATCACGATGATGCCCTTAGTTTGTTCCTATCTTGACTAATTCGAAAGTTATTCGAGAAAAACTCTATACATATCTAGCGCCGCCATTTGGACTTTTTCGACCCCTGTGACGTCATCTTTGACCTGACCTGAAAATGACTTTCGTGAAAATTGTAGATCTTGACCGTGCGTATCCGATGCCGTTTACCGCTTGTCGCTATCTTGCTTCGTTCTCGAGATATCAAGGAGGGGGGTGGTCATCCGCCCCCCCCCCCCGTCGGTGCGAAGTTGCGCGTCGGTGCGCGGGTTAACATTAGATTTGAGCTGAGATAGCCAAAATGGGGTCCCTGGCTCACAATTACCGGATTCGGCACTCACAACATCGAGAAATGCCTTAAATCGGAAATATTGAATGTCAAAATTGCAGCATTTTGATTCAGAGGGGCTAATGCATAGGAATATCCCTCTGAATGTGTGACGTCAGCGCAGATATCTAACGAATTTAAATGTTTGACTAAAACGTTTTGTAGCACGCGGTGGTATATGCTGCTTGGCGCGCAACAAGTGCCGCCCTTTCAGCTGCCAAACTATTGCTTCCAAATAAAGTCGCTAGGAACAGCGGAGATCCCAAAAAGTAAACAAAAGTAAAAGTCTAATATCTTGAAAACCGGTGAATATTTTTCGGTGAAATTTGGTAGATATTCGTTTTCGCTCTTACTGAACCGAGCGACATCACTTTCAAGCCAATTCATAAACTTTTTTTGAAGGTGGGAGCCGGGAGGGTCCCTTTAACCCTCGCCCGCACATGGGGGGGGGGGTTGCCACCCCCCATCCCCAGGTAGTCTTTCTGATCTGCACTCGACACTTTTAGAGCTAGAAGGCTGATTTTTCGTATAGCTAGCTGCTCCTCTATCCTTTCTTGATGTCAACTAAAAATTTCAGGTTTCTGTGATTTTCGGTTTCGGAGATATGACCTTGTTTTCAGGTCATGTCATGACCCAAATGGCCAATTCTCAACATCTTGCGTTTGCTATGGGTCTTGTGAGCTTTTGACACCTTGATTTCGGTCTTTTTTGCCAGTCTTACCTCCCACCTATCATGGAACATGTTGTTCGACGATGTACAGGTGTCAAGGTCAGGGTCAAGGTCAACCTAGGTCATCTAAGGTAATTGCGTTTTAGGCAAGCTGAATTTACTTTTTGTGTAGTTTTTTGACTACATTTTTGGTAAAAGCTTCTCAGATCATGATTTCATGTAATATGGACACATAAACAATCGTTCCACACAACAGTATACACACAGACACACACAGACATACAAACACATATAATTGACCTTGACCTAGCTTGACCTGAAATGACCTCAGCAGCAAAAATATGGTCGGGTAGTGTGATAAAGAGGTTCTAGCTGGCTTGGCACCAGAAAACGGCATCGTCATCGGTATATGATAAGCAGCGCACTTGATATCCAAGGGTGACCCAAAACAGCAACATTTTTTAGTTTGACCTGACCAGGAAGGTCAATGACTGACCTGAGAAGGTAAAACTGGGTATCATTGGATTTGTCTCTTCCCAAAGAATCTTTTTGGTCTTTACCGCTAAGCAGAGTTGTATACCAATCAAGTCGATTGAATTGATTGATTTGATTCAACGCGTATTTTGAGTTGATTGGATTGAGTCGATTGACTTTTCGAGATGACTGGTTGACTGACTCGTTTGACTTTAGCGACTGGTTGACTGATTTGATTCCCGAAAAATAGAGTGACTCGTATGATTGAGTCGATTGAATGGAAAGTTGAAATAAGTTTTAGTTGACGAAAAATAATGACACCAATTGATGACATCAAAGATCACAAAACTACACTGAAAACTGCTTGTCATCACAATTGCAATATGGGGTAGATGGCCAAATAAAGAACAGGGCCTAAACATGAACAGCCAACTTTGACTTCAACTGCAATAACTGCTCCAATCCTGTGATAGAACCTGGCGATGCACCTACCTACCTTTCTGCACTCAGCAGGAAACTTTTTTTTTAATCCAGATGATAAAGTGCAAGGCCCTATATACTAATAAAGTGTGATTAATTACTAATTCACATCTCCACATCTCCTCAGAAACAACCCACTGAACTCTATAAATATCTTAACCCCACTGAACTCTATTAACCCCTACAAAAATAACTGAAACAAAAGCGCCGTTTTCGTCTCGCTAATTACGTTTACATTAATAGCTAATTTGCTGCATTGTTTAATTTGCAGCAGAACGTTTGTTGATCCTTTTCTCCTGAGAGCCTAGGCATAACATATTTATTATATTTCATTTTCCTTAAAATATTTTACCGAATATTATTAAGTGGTTTTATTTCAAATGAAATAATAATTAAAACGAAATTGGTGTTGTACAACCGATTTATTTTATGATGATCTACCATACTACATGATAATCAATGACGTCATCTTACCAAAAAATCAAAAGACTTAGAATAAGGATTTATAAAAGCTTAGCATACTTCTTGGCAAAACGTTTTCTTTGTTTTTTTCGCAGTCGCACCAACGGCATTTAATTTCCCTTGTTCTTCTTCCTTTGTCCTTAACTTATCCTGTGGTTCCAGAGTCCCTGTCCTTTCCATTTCCTTTTAAATATATTTTTAATGCTCATTCCTATCCCCCAGTCCTAACAGTTTCAAATTGTATTGCAATAAAATGTTTTGAATTCTTCACATATAACCTATCTACCTTCGTTGGTACTGTTGGTAGCAGTGACACATCTAGGCAGGTAAGTACATAGGTAGTTGGGTACCTACCTGCTTTCCTGCTGTCTTCATAAAGCATACCTAATGAAGTTGTCAAATTTATAGCACATTTTCAACACTTTCATATCAATATGGTGTCAGTGTGGCATGTAACCTAGCTAGGTTCATTATGTTCAGGGTTCAATTCAGAAGAGCTCCGCATAACTCACATAAGAGACAGACGGGGGCTTTACATGGGGTAGATGGCCTGATGACTTAGCTGGAATATGGCCAAAATTAAACTGACAACTTTTAGGTGAAAGGTGGTGATTTGGGTTAAGGGGCGTTTGTTGAAGTCAACAACTGGGCTATTTTGCACCAATTAAATGAAACTTCTGCTCCAATTCTACCCATTGAACCTCAATATCATGATCCACTGTCCATCACTAGGTATCCTTCCTTTTTACATAGAAACTTTGAATGGCATGGCAATTTATAATTTTAAATGACAATATTTTTGTTTCTTCTGTAGGTAGGTAGGTAGGTAGGTAGGTAGGTAGGTACACCAGACTGCTATGGACACTTTTCCAAGTTGGTGGGGCAAAAAACCTAACGTATATCTTGGTTTGAGTCGTTTGATTGAGTTGATTGATTCCTTTCATTGTCGCGTTTGAGTCGATTGAATCAATTCCCGAAAACTGCTCTGACTTGATTGATTTGATTGGTTTCCCAAATTTGTCGTGATTGAATTGATTGCTATTGATTGAGTCGTATACAACCCTGCCGCTAAGCTCTATCTCCAACAGGAACGAAATGGCGCGGGGGGTGGCAACCCCCCCCCCCCCATGTGCGTTCTAGGATGGGAAAATGGCATGTGCGGGCGAGGGTGCATGTTGATGTAAGCACAGACATCCAAACACTCAGACGGGTATCTAGCACACAGAGAAGACACACAAAGAATCACAGAATCACATACACACCGTTACATAAACACATATTGTCTGACTATAGACACAGACGCACAAAACACACTCAACAACAGACACAGGGACACACAGACCCCCCCCCCCTCACATACAGGTCGGCCCTTCTCACCTGATATTCGCCGCCTCCGCCGTGGTCGGCTCCGATGGACAGAGCTCAGTACCGTCCACACACTGTTGGACCACCCGCTCTGTCGACTGACCCTCCTGGTGGACGCAGTGCAGCTCGTGCTCCTCCGTCGGCCTTTGTCCCGGTCTGGACCGCTGCAACTGCGCAGTATGTAATAACCCCGGGGCGGGGCGCCGCTGAGTCATGGTACCGGTTAGCGCCGACCTCGGGCCGCTGGGCGACTGCAGCGCCCCTACCGGTCACCGGCGTCGTACTGTAACTAATGGGGAGCCGGGGGGCGTTCATGGAACACTGTTGATGTAAGTGCACTGTTGCCTCGTAAAGGCTAATCAGCAACAACAACAAAATAAAATGGGAACTCTCTACATTCGTCTAGGACTTGGATGTCCGAGTTACAATGGGCCTAGTCCCGTAGCGAGGAGACTCTAGCGTGTCCAGTGCGCCGGCGGCGCGGCGTTCCAGACTGATGACGTCAGCGGAAAGCCACCATGGATTCGTGATAACACGGACCGGATGGCGGTGCAGCAGCCCCCCCCCCCCTTTCACCCCTCCCCAGCCGTCTGGAACTCCTCCATCCCTCCGGACACCGCTTGCAACTCGGTAATGTAAACCATAGTGAGCAGCAGACATGTGCAGGGATGGAAGAGGCGAATCTATGATCTCAGTGGATATCTCGACAAAATGGAGGGCTCGGACCTACATCTCGCACCTCGCCCGGTCAGGGGCTGGGGAGGGGGAGATTGATCAAATTCTCGATCTGTTTTCACAGATAGCTTGCGCCGCAAAATTCTGCATACCGTCTGGTGCATCCTATTGACATATTCTCTGAACATTAGTCACGTCCCATCAGTTTAGGTCAGGTCAAAAGGTAAACACCTGGAACAATGCCAGTATAAAATTTTATTTTACTAGTTTTGTTACAACAAAATCACAAAGCCCTTCTCGTTAATAGCGTAGGCACCATGGCACATAGCGTCACCAAATTTCAGACACTGCGTGGGCATTCATTTGTCACGTGTACTGGGAGTCTGGAGTTTCAGTGACCTCAGGTCAGGTCACCAGGTCATAAAAACGATACCTTGTCAAAATGACACTGAAAATACACTATTTTTTCAATGAAATCGGGAGCTGTGCATCGATTTGATTCAGACTTGCAGGATATGCTAAGCTCACAGGGTGCAGCATAATACGCAGATATATTTTTGATACAGTTGACCTGAGTTCATCAAGAGGTCATGAAAAATTATAAGACAATTTATCCAAATGACTCCAACTATACCTAAAACACATAAGAGATTTGGGTGTCATGTCAACGTTTTTTTTTTTTTTGTTGTTGTTGTTGGAATACCTTTGTTTACATCAATATATGATCAAAATTAAATTTACATGCTGCAAAAACGTTTGGGTTTGGTCAACTGGTGTCAAATGGGGCCAAGCTATGTGTTTACTAAAAAAATATACATATTGAGGTTAGAGTTTCAAAAATGGTGTCATTGTGTTCCTTGTAATCAGCCTAGTCGAAAGATGTGCGATATGATGCATTTGGATGAACTTCCAAATGCATCATATCGGATGAAACTTATTTTTGAAATTTATATGATTTTTTTCTTAAAATTTGGATGAATTTTATTAACTTGTTCGGTTCACCTAAACTGCTTAGAAAATGTATCATTCGATGCGCATTGACTTGCTGAGCTTGCTGGTATGCTATTTCCTCTACCATTGCTAAATAAAAAATGCGCAAAAAACTTAGGCTGTTTAAGCTATTTTCAACATGTATAACCCCATAGCCCATTCCCTTACTATTGACCTAGGGTTACCAAAGTTGCACAGGAGTGACATTTTTTATTGGTCCACCTACCCTTTAAATATCGTGTTTCTAGATGCCATATAAGTCAATCGCCAGGGGGCCCCCCTGGCCGCTCGCGTTAGAAAAAAAACGCCCTGGCATTGAGAAGAATCTGACATACCTACAGCGAAGTGATACTGCGTATTGCAGGGACTGTGACCCATTCATCCAATCTTGCGCATCATAACAATGTATTTCCAAACGAACAAAAAAGTTGCTGTTTAAACAAACTACCTATGTATCAATGGGGGGCGTACCGGCTGGGGACGGCTGGGGACGTACCGGCTGGGGACGTACCGGCTGGGGACGTACCGGCTGGGGACGTACTGGCTGGGGACGTACCGGCTGGGGACGTTCCGGCTGGGGACGGCTGGGACGTCAGATTTCCCGGGTGTTTCGGAGACCATCTCGTCCACGACATGTCATCCCGGCCCCATCCCGTGCCGTGCGGCCACCACGCCACCGAACGCCACTGGCCAGCCCTAAGGTGTCGGTGGGTGTGCCTCTTTTCTACGGCCATTTTCCAGCGGCCGGCCGGAGCCAGTCGCGGGAGGCGCTGCTGATTGGTCCGTGCGTAACGCGCGAGAGCCGCAGAGGCGTCTGCTGATTAGTCTGTGCATGGTGCGCGTGCCGCGGAGTCTTCTGCTGAATGGTCCGTGCGTAACGCGCGTGCCGCTAAGGCGTCTACTGATTGGTCTGTGCGTAGCGCGCGTGCCGCAGAAGCGTCTGCTGATTGGTCTGTGCGTGGTGCGCGTGCCGCAGTGGCGTCTGCTGATTGGCCAGCTGCCTGGGCTGCGCCGTCTTCTGCCTCCTTGGCCGGGACGCTCCACCTCCTGGTCAGTGGACGTGGCGCCGGCCGAGCGTAGCCGCAGGACAAGTGGCGGCTTCTGGTCCTATATGACCGTATAGTTTTGAGACACCAATCAGTGATTTTGTTCCTAAAAAATCACACTACTTTGTTTGTAAGAATTACTTTTTACTACAACAATAAAGAGTAATTTTCGCATCATTCATTTTCGCTGATGATAGGTAGTCGGGGAGAAAAGTTCATGGATTTATTACTTTTTATTCATATTCTCATAGCTATGCTCCTTGCGAGGACGATAAGAAGAATGCCTAACTAATAATTGGCGTTCATGAAATGCATACGGCTTTTCAGCATTGACATCACATAGCACCAATCAGAATATATGCACCATCTAAATAGGTGGAGAATTGTCATAATACCAGGGGGTTCTTTTACAGCACCTGGTGAGTGGAAGAGTCAATTTATTACGCAGTAAAGCACATATAAGCACGCATTTCAACAGCATCACTATCCTCGCGACTAACGCAAACACTGGCGGATCCAGGGGGGCACGGGGGCCATGCCCCCCCCCCCCAAAGGCCTAAAGTGGCTTGTTTGCCCCCCCCAAAAAAAACCTCAGAAAAATTGCTAAGAAAATATACCTTGATGGAGGTTTTTAGCCACTTGGTGAAGTAAAGCTTTACACAGCATAATATGGAAGCAATATGGTAGCAGTGAGGGTCAGTCAAAAGTTGCGCGAGCGGAGTCGACCTTCAAAAAAAGACTGTTGTTGGTACGTGTTTATGGCGCGGCAGCTGGTATTTGGCGGTGTTTCGCGTGGTGTGGCATCACTGGCGGATCCGGGGGGCACGGGAGCCTGAGGTGCCCCTGACAGGCCCGTAGTGCCCTTGCTAGGCCTGTGGTGCCCTTGGACCCTGGCAGGCCTGTGGTGCCTCTGGCGGGCCTAGGGTGCCCCTGCTAGGCTGCTGATGCCCCTAGGACCTGACAGGACTGTGGTGCCCCTGACAAGCTTAAAGTGCCCCCAACAGGCCCGTGATGCCCACGACAGGCCCAAGGTGCCCCTGTGTGATGCCGTGATGCCTACGAGGCCGGTGGTGCCCCTGCGAGGCCGGTGGGGCCCCTCACAGGCCCGTGGTGCCCTTGCTAGGCCTGTGGTGCCCCTGGCGGGCTGGTGGTGCCCTTGCTAGACCGGTGGTGCCCCTGACAGGCCCAAGGGAGGTCATGACCCATGTGGCCCCCTTGGATCTGCCACTGACACATAATGTATTGATTTGCAAAGGCGTTATGGCTTATGCAATATGGAATTGCAGGCACTTGGTATCCCTCAATTAACCCGCGACCTGGTGGGGGGGGGGGCTATTTTTTGCCCCCCCTCCAGACTTTTCGATATATCTCCAGAACCACTGCGCCGATCGTCACCAAACTTTCAGTACCCTCCCGGACATCAATTTTACACATTGTGACCAAAAATTTTCCAAAGGCTATGATAGGTTGGCCGGAAATGACATCAGAGTGACGTCATGTTCTGCCGTTTTCGACCCAAAAAAGGGTTTCGCGGGAAGAGCTGTCAGGCCTATAGCTTTGCAAATACAGAAAAATGATACAGACATATAAGCTGTAGAATGAACAGGGCTACAAAACTGCTATCTCGGATTTTTGAATTTTTTGGATTTTGACCCCCAAAAATCAAATAATAGATTTTTTGAATATAATAGCCAAAAAATCCAAAAAGTTTTTTGAATTTCGAAAAAAAAAACGGAATATATGTGATAGTCCTTACCGCCTTCTATCTACATACCAAATTTGAGATCGATACCTCTTTTTTTGGCCAAGTTATAGCGAAAAAACTGTTCAAAATTGATGACGTCAAATTTTCAAACTCAATTTTCAGCAATTCTAGACCTCGTAGCGCAAAACAAAGACCACCATTAGACTCCCCGTGACGAGCTGCATCGAATCAATACCCATTTTATGCAAAAATATCAACTTTGAAATTTGACCTTTTTTGACCTGACCTTGACCTGACCTCCACCAGAAAGTGACCTAAACCGTACCTGATGGTCTTATAACCAACACCATTGAGTTGGAAATGAAAAACTGGCCATAAAACATGCATCGCATAACCTTAGTAAAGTTGGGTTCATGTGGTGACCCTTGGTGACCTTTGGTGACCTGACCTGTGACCTGACCTGGTATGACCAGTGACCTCTAACAGCAACATATCTACTAGGCAACTGACGCCCTATCGCTGATTCCCGACAAAATGCGTTTTTCTCGGTGTTATAGCGCATTCCCAAGAAGACCCGTGAACGGTGAAACATTTCATCTTTGACCTGACCTGTGACGTCATCGGTGACCCCGAGGTCAATAAAATTTGGTTTCCCTCGACAAATTTGACAGGCCTTTCGAACGCCGTTTGAATTTTTCGGATCCGTCCAGTAGTTTCGGAGATACGAGGGGGGGGCAAAAAATAGCCCCCCCC